TGAAATTTTTTATTTACTTTTTTATGAACTTTGTTGCAATGCCTTTTTAAGCATCTTTTTTAAAAAATGTACTTCCACTTTGTTTACAAATTTCATTGTACTTTGAGTTACGTATACGTAAATGACACCGTAAACGTGTTGCTCTTGTAAATTTTCGGTTATAGATGAAATAACATATAATTTTACTGTACGTATGCTTTCTTATGAGGTGGACATAATAATTTTCTTTTTATGGGTATACTGCACAATACAATTTTAAAATCATTAAAAAAAAAAAAAAAAAAGAAAAAGAAAAATGAGAAAGGGCATGTGTGGAGGATATAAAGTATTAGTATTAAGCATAGGTTTATTGGCTTTGTGAGAGTACATATCGCCATATACACAGTGCACATTTTAATACAAGGAATACAGTCTAGATGGCAATACTGGCGATAGTAATACACAATATAACAACTTTAATTTAAAATAATACCATATTGTATGTACATAATAACAACCTGAGCTTGCATATGTCAGTTACTCACAGTTTCGTAAAATTTGTTTGTTTATTCGCCTTTCTTCTTTTCCTCCCTTTCCCCTCCCTCCCTCATTAAATATATAACATTGTTATCATTACTACTGTACACATATATATACATACGCCCGTTCGCACACATAAATACACCTAATCATATATAAACTTTTTTTTTTTTTTTTTTTTTTTTTTCAACTTCATCTGTGCGAGTCTATTACTAGGGTATATACTCAAAAGGGAAAAGGTTACACTTCGTGGGCGGGTTCAAAGTCCATGTGGCTCTGAGTGAATTTCCGAGTCTGCGACAGCGAGTCCCAGCGGTGACGAGGCATCTCGGTATTTCTCGTAATGATCAACAGCATTAATGATGACATATATCTTACTTGGTATGGATAAGGTAACGCGTTAATGATGGTTATTGTGTTTAAATAGATTTGTTGTGTCTTCGTAAATAGAGGAGGCCTCGTGTGATGGACGGTCAATCAAGTGTCGATGATAAAACGTTGAAAATATAATTCTTCCTTGCCTTGCGACTAAAGTGCACTGCTCTCTAGAAATAAATGTTTAACCCTGCGTATGTGCGCAATCAGATGATCTCCAGATTTTCCCTGACAAATTTTTGTTTTTTTGTTTTTCGATTGTTGTACTGGCACTGAAAAATAATTTCCTTTTTTTTTTTTTTTTTTATTAGCGATTCTCATGAGGTAGTTTCCTCGCTTTGGTAGTGGTCACAATACAAGGTTTATTTTCCTCGTTGCGTATGTTTTTTTTTTGTTGATTATGCTAGTACTGAAATTTTTTTCAAACATTCGTGCATCGGAACCTCGGCAATGTATTTTCCTCAAATTTAAGATGAATAATTTTAATAACAAGGGCCCCATTCTTTTTGTGAATTGTATGCAATAACTTAAGCTAATGACTCATATTTCAATTTGAATCATTCAAAATTTCGTGTAGTTATCTCATGCATTTCATAAGAAAAAAAGTTGTTATTTTTATCAGCTCAAAATTGTAGATGAAGTGATTGAAACAATTTAATAACGAGTATTGAGAAGTAATCACTAATTTATTTGAAAAACAATCTTGTTAAAATCAGATTTGAAATAAGAATTTTGTAAAATGGTAATTCATCTAAAGCTTTGTGTTAGTTAATTTTATTGCCAGCTGGTTTTTTTATTAATAATACTTATTTTTGCAGAGTATT